CTGTGGGGACGGCAGCAAACACCATGTATGAGAATGCAGACCAAGGCATGAGGAGGAGGAGGAGCCAGAGGCAAGCCTACAAGTCAAGACTGAGGCTGGATGTGGAGAAAGCAGTACGTCCTCTTCCCCCATGCCACCCTCCTCACTGGATAAACCTAAACTAGCGCTACCAGACTAGCAGGCTTCGCCACCGGTGTGCCCGATGTAAAAGTACAATCATAGCAGTGATAATGTACTTTAAAAACTGAAGAATTTACAAAAGATGCAAGAGAAAATAAGACAGGATGAATATAGAATTTCTTCTTTCTCATGGAATACTCGATGCAACAGAGAATACAACTTGAACTCTTCGTTTGTATGATTAACTGTATGATTTCCTATAAAGGGAGCCTACTGCTTCTAGCGAGAAAGATGAAAATACTGAAGCTGTGCTCATCTTAGAGATAGGCAGAAGTGGACCTCTGCAGTGCAGCTGATGGGTACCCTAAAGAGAGCCTCACATGTAGGACCCATATCATTTCACAATGTCGACCTTCCAACCTTCCAACCTGCAGCATTTTCTAATGCTCCTTAAGCCAAGCAACCTGGCACGCTGCGTCTCTTCTACCATTAAAATAACTTATAAGACCTCAGAACACTATGCTATGGCATTTATCCACTTCAGTTATTACAGAAAAGAAATACATGAGAGAAAGCCAGGAAAAAACCCAATTCTTGGTTGCACTTTCCTTATTTCAATCCTGCACATAAGAACATATCTCTTGCCAGGCCTGGTGGTGCATGTAATCCCAGCATTTGGGAGGCTCAGGCAGGAGGATTGCTCTGAGCTCAAGGCCAGTATGGGCTACACAGTGAGTTCAAATCCAAAGGCCAACCTGATCACCACAGTGTGACCCTGTCACAGAAAGATAGATCTTTTGTACCTGGAAGATTTCAGGTATGTAAATACACTGATTCTTTAACCAAGAAGCTATGTGACTTCTAGCATGTTCTTTGAGGTTTGCTTTCTTCAAGCAGGAAGAGGAGGGGTTGGGCTGATGTAGCTACAAGTGCCCTCCCAGGTGACAAATTATGTAAGAAATTATGTAAGTCTAAGGTGCAAGAAAATGTTTTTAGGGATATTTAATCATAAGGGAGGGGGAAAAACCATTATTAATCCAACTAAAGACCCTCTGTCACAGCACCGTAGCGGTGCTACACTGGGGCTAATATGCAGCGCACCCACATGATGCCTGAGAACATGACTAGTAGCATCAATCGCTTGAGAGCATGCAGAGAGAGAGAACACCAAAAAACGTCAGCTTCCCTACAGAAACAAAGGTCACTGCCCTTGGTCTCTCAGTCAGAAAAGGTGCACAGCAGGTGAGAACACAGCCAGACAGGAAAGACAGGGATGACAAGCCTTCTTCTATAACCTCAGCAGCTTCCACACACTCTGCAGCCTCCAGGCAGCAGGGAGCCCTGTCCGCTGTGCAGTCTCTCCGTGCTGCGTGGGAAGTGCTCGCACCTTTGTGGGACCACAGCAAGCGGGACGTGGGGCCCATGGCTCCTCTGGGTCTCTGGGTGTGCAGGGTCTCTCCATTTATCTGCCTGAGAGAAGCTCCAGGCGCCCTTTCAGCACACTCCAACCGAGAAGGACTAAAGATCTAGAACAAATGACCACCTCACGTGGTAGTATCAGAATCTCCTTTCCTAGTATTTTAGGTAAAACGGCACGATTGCTAAATGAACATTGTCGTTTTCTCACTTGAGTACTGGCGTATTCTAATACAGACCTACAAACCGGGGACTCTCCCTGAGCTCTAATTAAAAGAGGCTCTAAGGAAAAGAAATTAGAAAAATAAAGAAATAAAAAACATGGGGCCGGGGAGATGGCTCAGTGGAATAAGCGCTTCCCTGGCAAGCACAAGGGCCTGAGTTCAATCCCTGGTTCCTCCAAAAAAAAGAAAAGAAAAAGAAATAAAAAACAAAAACTAGAAAATATTTCACTGTCCACTACAAGGAAAAATAAAGAGGAAAAAAAAAAACAAAAACGAGTATCCTCCCTGGAGTATCGGCAGACAACAACATTTTTAAAAAGAAAACAAAATAATAAAATAATATTTAAGGTTGAGGAGAAAGTTTAATCTGCCAAAGCCCATCCCTGAGATGTGTGATGACTGCTTCCTACATTAATTCAGCAATTGTCATAGAATTTAAACCCCCAAAGTTGTAAACAAAATGTAGAGCGCTCTTTTGTTCGTGACATGTCATGAACAAATTACCGAAATGTGTTTTCTCCTCAGGTGTCAGTTTTCCCCTCTTTTGGTGACTGATGGCTCCCAGTGTTATTACAGAAACAGATTGATCTTTTTAATGAGCCAGTTTAATAGACTCCAAAATCTCACCGTGGTTGCTCATCCACGGCAGACCATATGCACCAACAAAACACTCAGTAAAACAAAAAAAGCTCTGCTGTCAGACAGCTCCATACTCTATAAAATTCCATATAGCAGAGCTGGATATACAGATAAATAACGCAGGAAGAAGAAGATGCATATGCAAATAAGACACAGGAAATCTATTTTAAAAAATACTGTAGAGGCCCAAATTGGCTGGGCTCCGATCAAATTCCCATAAGATACAAATGTATTTGTGCATATTCTCATTACCCTTCCTCCTAACTCTGAGGAAACCCACCTACCACCTTTCCATTCTAACAAAAATGTCAGAGTTCCACACAAAAAGGATGCTCCCTTCAAGATTAACTGTATAGATTCTGATGCCAGCATCCGCTGATGAGCAACCGAAGATGCTGGATGATGCGGGTCGCTTTGGAAGTTTTCTACCTGACTACGTGTATGCGCAGCCACAGATGAGAACAGGAGCGCCGAGCACCCCTGGAACCTAACAGAAAAACACTAGGGCCGGGGTGCCAAAGTGGATGGCTCCCAAGCTCGAGTCACAGGTCAGAGCCCAGCCTGGACAACTTAGTGACTGAGAACAAAACAAAAATGCTGGAGATGTAGTTTAGAGCAAAGGACTTGTGTTCAGTCCCCAGTACCCAAAGAACTGCATATAGATGCATATGAAAACCATCCATCTGAACCCTTTTGCTTTAACAGTACAATACTATAAAATTAACGTGTGTGTGTGTGTGTGTGTGTGTGTGTGTGTATGCACACGGGAGGGGGAGAGAAAGCAGGGAGAGGGAGAGGGCAGGGAGAGAGAGAGGGAGACAGGGAGGGAGGGAGAGAGAGGGGGAGAGAGGGAGAGTGAAGGAGGCAGGGAGGGAAGGGAAGAGGGGGGAGGGAGGCAGAGAAGGCATGAAGGCAAGAGAGAGCCAGTGAGACACTGTTTAGATTAGAGCAATGAATCAAAGTTCTCATATTCCCTATTATAGTTATTTAGCAATTAGGAATATTAGCTAAGGTCATGTCCATTTTCAATTTTGCCTGAGGATTACCTTTACATTTACCATGGCTATCTAAACCTTTTCCTATCACATCCTCTCCAACCCCCTTAAATATATATATATATATATATATATATATATATATCCCCTTCCCAATGTACCATCTGGTCTCTCCTTAATTCTTTTCTTACGTAATTATCCTGGCTCTGTGATGCTGAACTATCTCAATGCTGCAGGCCCTGCCTGCACCTAAGGGGCTCTGCCTGGATGGGAACGTACCCTTTAGTCTCCCTCTTTGAACCCCTTGGTGCTCAGCTCCCTGCAGGCAGCACCACTCAGATCCGGGAGCAAGCAATGCCCCTCAGTAGTGAAGGTGAAAATGCTCTATTCAATCTCCAACATGACCAAGAAAATACACCTTATGATAACAAAGGAATGTACTGGTGGATCCTACAAGGACGTGGGTCTACAATGTTAGAAGCAAATCAATATTTAACTTTTGCTTTATCCATTTTAAATATTAAGGAGTCCTATGTTGAGAAACAAAAAATTCCAGAGGTTGAAGGGAAAAAAAGCTTAGCAGAAGATTACGTAATAACCATATATAAACTACTGGCCTTTAATAATATTCTGATCTGCACAGCAGCAAATATATTTAAGGGTAGCTAGGTCAGTCACAGAGTCTCTGAGCAGTTGCAAGGATCTCAAGCTCCTGGGAATCTGGAACTGTGCAGGGTGTTAACCTCTGCAAGGCAATCTCACCCACACTGGTAAAATGCAGGAAAAAAATGAGAACAGAAAAGTAAAAAGAAAAGCGCATATCATGAATTTTAGAATATAACTTTAAGCGTCTCCCTATGTAAACATGATATAAAACACTGATAAAACTTCACTTCATATGTCAGAAAATAATTACATGGGGATAAAGCATTTGTGAAAATTATTCTAATAAAGTACATGAGAAGTTTCACATGCATGCCTGATTCAACAACTCATTTGCAGAGTTAATGGGAAAAGGTCTTAATTTTTCATATCATAAAACTCTCAGCTATGAGACTAGAGTGCCTGATGGATAAACACTAGCTAGTAAATAAAACTTTCCAGCAGAAAGCACATCCATTAGCTCTATTCTGTAACTGGGATCCTCATGCAGGTCACCTAGCCGCCTGGAGGTTTTCTCTTAGGACCTGCTGAGCCCCATGCAAGCAAGTACTGTATAGTTTTTGCTGGATATCATGTTAAGGGCCATCTTCCAGAGTCGTCAAGTTTTAAAGAAACATGAAACAGCAAATTTGTAAAACTGGAGGGTAAAATACGAGATTGGGCAGAACTATGTAATAAACGAGCATTTTAATGCTAAATCGTGTTTCAAAACCATTAGTGGTACTTGGCAGATTTGAAAATCATTCATTGTCGCCCTTCAGCTTCAACACTGCAACAAGGTAGGGTAACCTGCACAAGAGCTGCCCTGAAGGGACCAAAGCTTCAGGGCAACTCAGCTGCGCTAGCTGACCGCTACTCTGCAAGAGATAGAGGCCAGCTGCTTACATGAGACCCAATCCATGTCCTCGTACCACACGGCGAGGAAGAGTCCTCGCCCTCTCACCTGTCTGGAGTTCGCCTCTTCCCGTTTTCGTTCACATCGAGAAGCAGCTCTGAGGAGTCAACAGGGGAGGTGGTGCTGGCATCCAGAAGCAGCTGTTCATGCTGGGCGAGGTACTGGGCAGGGTTCTGCTTGGCCAGCCTTGCGCAGTGCAGAAGCTCACGCTGCAGCAGGGGCAAGTTGGCCTGTAAGAGTGACAGGAGTGAGGGGGTGCTCCAGAAGGCTTCCCCTGACCTGTCCACCTAGTCAGTCTGTTGCCCAACTCTGGAGCAAGCAAGCAGCTATGCAGCTATGCAGCTATGGAGCTGCACATCACCTGCATGCCTCAGGTTTGGCATCAGCCGCGGCTCGCAAGGCTGGGCTACACTGCGCCTGCACTGCCCCAAATGGGCGGTCTCGGCACGTGCGCCGCCCCGCCTCTCCTCACTTCCCCACCGACTACACTGGCAGTGGCATTTGGGCCTCCTGTGGACCCTTCACATTGAAATATAAATTTTATAGAATGATATTGCAGTTCCTTGTACAATTTTCCCCCCAAGGAAGAAAGGTATGAAAAATAGGTAAGACAGTCCACTCAATCTCAGGAAAGTCTCTCTGACACAAGGTTTTCTGTTTAGCAACTTATACTAGTCAAACAGGCTACTTCCATGAAATATCTTTGCCTAAAATAGAAAATATAGGACTGGGGAGATAGCTTGGTTGTCTAAGTGCCTGCCTGGCAAACATAAGGTCCTGAGTTTGATCCCTGGTACTGCACGCAGTGCTGGCCCTGGAACCCCAGGCACACTGTGCTGGCCACTGAACCCTGGCGTGGTGGCACACACCTGTAATCCCAGTGCTAGGGAGACTGAAACACAATCACTATGAGTCTGAGCTGCATAGACAGACCCTGTACCAAATCAATCAATCAATCAATGAAAACCACAAGCAGCACATACTAGCAGTCTACAACAGTAACCTACTGTCTGTGTATACCTCACTCTAAGAAATTTTTTAACGTTAGAAGAAATCTTGTGTCCATGTTACTCTTCCTCATCTCATCTGTACCTTGAATAAAGACTCTCAGAACAGACACATTTGTAAGCTGATGAGTAATTTTGGCAATTGGGTGGACTGTCTTATCTGCAACTCCTCAAATGTAATAAGTGTGAAGGTGGCAATTTATCACACAGCAAGGCATTAAAATGAAAACTTTAACCAGAATTTTATTGTGATCCACTGCTGACATCATAACTTCAGGTGATTGTTTTCTTCCTTTTAGTTTTATGGTCACTTGGGGAAGAGGAGAGGCTAGCAGGGGAGAGTAAACTATATTCATCCCTGGTAACACTTAACTCTCAAAATTCAAGCAAAGATCAGGAACATAAATCACTTCATAACTCAAGGATTTTCTTTGTAGGAATCAGGGCCCACAGACATTGATTGACTTAGCAGGCAGAAAGAGTTTCTAAATACAAGAATCTGAGGTTCCAGTTAACTCCATCTTGGGCCCAAGGAGCTCTACCAAAGCCCTCTAGAGACCCAGGGACAGGCAGCAGGGCTCTCTATCTGCAACCCCAAGTACTTCTCTGGGGTGCGGCTCAGCGGCAGAGGCACACCTCACACACTCAAGGCCCTGGGTGTGACCCCAACATGTGCACACACACAAATTCAGTTTTTGAGAGCATTAATCAAGAACCCATGCCATAATACCAAAGTACATTTCTGCACAAAATGTATGACTGTGATATTTACTAAAGCTAAGTATACTCCACACGCTAGACCAATGGAAACGCTTCTCACATGACAAGGCCAAAAATAAACTCTTAGTGATGATTAAAGGAAATCATGACCACATGGCTAATATATTTTTAAATACTTTTAAAAGCCTCTTTCCGTAGAGCTTAGATACTATGTGCCATAAAATAATAAAACTAAAGAAGCATCTCTACATGAACATTTTTATAAAGTTTACAAAAGCCCTTCTGATGCACTGCAAAGGCATAAGATTTAGGGTCTTAAGATTTAGGGTCATAACACTACAGGGCTGGCAAGATAGCTCAGTGGACTAAAGCACCTGCTTAGGCAAGCTTACGCAAGTACAGAGACTGAGGTTCGATCCCCCACACCACGTGCCATGCCAGCCCGACCCCCACGGCAGGCTGAGCCAGCCACAGAGTCCAGGTGTGATGCCACAAGTTTGTGATCCCTGCACTGGGGAGGCTGGAAACAGGTAGGACACTATGAGCCCCAGCTGCATGGTGAGACCCTGTAACAACCAATACATTTTTTTAAAAAAGAAAAATAAAAAAACATTATGCTGTAAAACTCTGCTCTAATCGTTTAGGGATCCCAAAGTTAAAAAATGGTAGGACAAAAAACTGAACAAAAAAAAAAGATGCAAAAAAA